AAAAAAAATTTGAGTTAACGTACGTAGCCCCTTGAGATCGATGATATGGTAATTTTTTCATAGTATATTGACTGAATTGCTGAATTCTTTGTAATATCATGATGCGTTAAAAATATCCGATGATCGCTTATGTAAAATAAAAATGATCGGCGAAATTCGTCAAAATTGTACCGAGGCGAGTGCCTTGGTTGGCCTCATACTAGCTACGGCGCTGACAAGTGTGTGCTTTGGTGCTGAACTTGGTCATAAGTAGTGTGTTCAAAAACTGACAGTTTGTTAACTTCTGCTGGCAAAAAAGTGCAGTTATGCAAACACATTACAAAAAGGACCATATTTGGTGAATTACTTAAATGTTATTTTATTGCAGATGAAGCAATGCGGCTTCTTGTGCAAGCAATTTTGAGTATCTCTGGTGAAAGTAAAAAACCTGAGCTACAGGACTGTTTAGCAGTGAGAGGTAAAACTCCGAGATCACATCAAGATTGTGCTCAAGAAACAGACTCACGTTACATGGTGGAGTATTCACAACAGTACCTAACAGATGAAACTTACTCACATGCCCTGCCTCAAAGCAAAAATTCCAGATGTTGCCCTGGGTAACCCTATTTTGAGGTTTAATAGGGGTCTTCATGTTTATAGCAATGTGGTGTGTAGATGGCATGCAACACACTACAAGAAATGATGAGGGCAAATAGAAAGCTCAAATGTAAATTTAGTTCAAAAGACTTTATGTTGCTAATTACAGTAAATGCTCAAAATTAATACGTGTGCAGGATGCTTATGTAAATTTCTGATTTGAGAGGGACACTGTCATGTGGATTTTTCAAGGCAGCAACTCTATGAATAGCTGGCTCTTAAAAAACTGTATTTTTGGATAGTGATACATGAATAATTGAGTAATATCAATATTATTATTCAGTGAAGATTATTATATGCATTATTTTGCATGCATGCAGTGATATTAGTTTACACATGAGGGATCGACAAGTATTATTATCCAATAATTTAGTTAGATGGCATTAAATTTGCTGGTAGCCAGGTGATCCCAAACACTGTGTAATTAACTGATCATTTTTTGTCAGACATGAAATGATTCCAAGCACTGTCTAATTAACTGATCATTTTTTATCAGAAATTATCAAAAAATTTTATTTTATTCAAAGATATATTATAAAGACAGGTACATTTTTAATATACTAAAACATATTATCCACTCAAAATTTTTATGCATATAACCAAACAAATAAAAAGAAATGGTACTCTTCTCATTCGTTCACATTCTTTATTTGTTATCTCATAGCATGAATCACATATTATTTATTGCTTTACGGTTATGTCTTTGTCAGTAAAAATTGAGCAAACAGTTTAAATAATTTTTTTTTGACATACAATATAATTTCCTGTTGATCACAACTGTTTCCCACATTTCTGTGATCACAACAAATTATTAATAGGCGTAACGGAACTACGGGGTAATCTCTAGTTGTCGACGTCTTTTAAAAGGAGAAGACTGTGGTGACGCCGGACTTGTATATAGTTCCAGTGTTCCTATTTCCTTGGAGTACCCCGTACTAGTCATATGTCAGTTGTAACGTCACTAATCAGAGCTGTGCTCTAACAGAGCCCGGTGGCTCCTGACGCCTAACTTTTGCCCTTGGACAACTAGCAAATCTTAGTTTTTTGATAAAAATCATATGCTGGGCACCCAAGGTTTTACAGGTTCAGAGCATCGGGCTCCCTTAGAGCACAGCCTTGCTGATGATATGCATTTCTTAAACAGATTCTCCTCACAAGTGCCACAAGAAATAAATGGAGAACACTGAGACTAATACTGGAAACACCACTCTTTCTATTAATTTTGTCTTCAAAAAAGAGGGTTTACGTTGGTGTAGGAACCTGTGATGTTCAATATCTATTATTTTGCTAGGCTCTGTTATGTTGATCACTTGTTTGTTTTCTTTGTTTTACATCACGCATGAGTGTTACAGATCCTTACACTAAGGATGGCCCAAAATAGAATCTGAGTAATGTGAAAACTGTCAAAAATTGATCACTTTCAATCCCTTTGTTAGGCTTCTGTTTCCACAGGAAGTTTTGGTTGTTGTCAAACCTGATTTTTTTTAAAAAGCCAATTTAATTATCTTAACATTCAGTTTAAAACGACAGATATTTGCTGTTTAAGGGCCATTAACCACAAAGTATAAGGAATTTATTCCTTTGAACATAAATGTGGTTTTACTTTCACACTATATTTACTTGAAGCTGAATTTTAATTCTTTGAAATTGGGCTACTGTTCAGTAGTTCCATCTTAGTGTCATTCCTCTAAATTATAACTCATGCTTGAATTACACCACAGTTGTAGAATCATTAATTTTATTTTGGTGGATCTGGAGCACCAAAAATTCCTTCATTCTGCATCATTTGTACTTCCTGTATTCGAACTCCAACTCTCTGCATGACTTTCAAGAACTTCTCAGTACAATGCATGCTGCAGTTGTTCTGGGGGAGAAGAATTGTACAGTAACATAAATACAACATTTTTGTGATAGTTGTACATGAAATAGATCATATAAGAACTATGGAAATGAAATCGAATGAAGAATGATCCCCGCAGTTGTGCAGGGTTTTTGGTAGCATTTGGAAGTACCAGATGCATTGGTTCAGCTAGCAGAGGTGCACCGTTTGCGCCGCTGGAAAAATGAAAAAACGATTTTCAAACTTAAAAAAACAATTATTTCGTGTGTGAACTACCGGACGTCACATGTCAAACAACCAGACGTTGTGTCCAGTGTCTAGCCTGGAGCGAAACCCCTGGTTGTGAATGCAATTTCTGGAATTGCATAAGACGCCTGAAAAAAATTCAGGACTTCAATGGGGTTTGGGACTTCAAACCCTGTTGAAGTCCTGAATTTATTTCAGACTTCTTATGCAGTTGCATAAATTGCATTCACGAAAGCGAGGATCAGTCTTCATTTGACAACAACTTTTGTTGCCTATTCATTCTTCTCTGCATAACTTGCTCTCACATATTTTTCCAAACTTTAAACTCCATTTTCTAACCTACCGGTAATTTCCATGTAACAAAAACGAATAATAATCTTGTTTATAATTTTGAAAGTAAAATCTTCCCTCTCAGTGGCTCAGCTCATCCCCATTTGCTCTGTGATTATCATCAAAAGTTAAGTTAAAAGTTTATCGAGTTAAGCCCTCAAATATCACAAGACAATTTTTTGCTTTGAGCCTTTTCTACTTCAACATGGAAGCTCACCTCGTTAGCGGAAATTTTCCTGTTTGTAAAGTCATGGATGCAGTCCGTGAAGCATAACTCTGTTAACTTGTTGTAGTATTGTAGAAAATTTTGAAACTGAAAAACAGTAAGGTGGAAACCTTTCTTAGCTCATGACCTGAAAATTTGTCCATGCAGAAGAAAAACTAGTCTCTGTCTTAATTGCTGTCGTCAGTGGCCATCTCAAATATTACCTGCTTCACTTCCATTTCTTGTTGTTGACTTGAACTCATGCCCCCCTGCATGGCTGCTTTCCAAAAATATCAACTGAAATTTTCTTTATCGTTATAAAAAAACTTGGTAAATTGGCTGAAACTCACTAAAACCTTTATCACAAATCACACATCAACCGCCATGTTGAAAAAGTGCGCAGCGTCTGATGGGCTATGTTGCGCTCAGTTCTCCTCGAATTTACAGACTCGTTCCACGTTGCTCTCGGGCTTCCCGGGCTAAGTGTTGATCTCCCATAAAAATCGCCGACTGGTGTGTGCGTTTATTTATATACGTTTTTTTCCCCACAAATTCGTGATTTGCGTTAAACACTATGAACCGGTTTATTGAGTAACTAGATAAGTAACCGGTAGGCATAAAGCGCGGACTGCGGACCACGGACTGTGGTCTTGTATCAAATTTTGTTTGTGGCACACCGATCGGTAAAAAGCTGATCCCTTCTCCATACGCTTGCCTAGAACTGCTTGCGGTTCCCAGCCAACAGCTATCACATGTGTAGTGTACGGTGGAGCTAGCGCTTACAGCAGTGCTGTTGACTCGCCTCGGCAGTAAACAGGCAGGGTCTGTGATCGTAAGTGAGACCACAGGCCTCCCAAACTCACGTTACGAGGGAAGGGAGTATTGTAATTTACAAACCGTAGGTGACGCGCCGGTGTCGCGTTACAGGCGACCACTGAGTAACAGTGGTTACGCAATAAAGCCCCTCCCCCAAAAAAACAGTAAAACGACAAACAGACACCAAAATGCCGTGGAATACATTGCAGGTAAGTTTTTTTTATTCATTTCATTTAAGAGCATGTAATGTTTCGCTTTACTTAGCGTTCGTTCGTACACCGGCGTGTCACCTATGGTATATAAATTACACCCCTCCCTCGTAACGTGAGTTTGGGCCGCCTATGGTGAGACCGTGTTGGTTATGCCATGCTGGTGAGTCGTAACAAGGACGAAACAGCTGCCCATCATGGCAGCCACTGCCGGGGTGATATGGCTGTGCGCATGGTACAATGGTACAAAAATATTCATTACTATTATATGCAAAACAGGTTATGAACAAGTGATACGTAATAGCATTGATAGAAATTAATCTACCCAACCCAATGCATCATCTGATGGATTCCTAGGCAGGGATGGTACCAGTGACTGTAAATTAACAACTTTTGCGTCTGTTTCATCCAATTCAATAACGTTGGTAATGTGCTTGTTTTCCTATAAGTCTTGTGAGTTTGATCCGATCCCCGGTCAGATTCTGTTTCTTCTGTTCCTCCAACTCTTACAAAGATTGTTCACGACGTGATTTCTTTGAAACGTAACCCTTTGTTATTGGCCCCGCATGCCCGGCACAAAAAGTCGCTGACTTGATCTCTGGAGGAGTACAAGAACTTCAGACCTATTTCTAATTTGGCTTCACTTTTCCAAAGTCATTGAAAAAACAACGGAGCTAGTAGTACAGAGGGTGGGGGTTCCGCTGTTACAGCTTGTTCGTAACTCGTAAGCCACCCTCGCCTGCTCGTTCGGTGTGTGGGGGGGGTGGCTTACGAGTTGTGAACAAGGTGTAACAGAAAGCCCCCACTCTCTTGTGTCAGAAGCATGAGTCCCATTGACAGAAGCGGAAACAAAATGGAAATCGGAACGCGAAACAAGCTTATCGTTTCGGCAACCAAGAGAATGCACCATTGTCACAGAAACCCCCAACGCTTGAAAGGTCTTTATCAAAGAGGAAAACGACAATTACAGATATGAATTGTCCCAGACGGTCACTCCAAGCAAGCCGAGGAGTAACGTTCCCGAAAACGAGCAAGATTCCTGGCCATTTTTGCAAGCCGCCGTGAAAAACATTTTCAGACCAATCAATCCCCGAAAATACAAAACGCAGCCCAGCTTTGTGCTTTTCTTCTTGAAATGATTGAAAAGGGTATAATAAGGGAGAGTGAGGCTGAATCTGACTTATTTGCCGAATTACTTGATGAGAAAATGATTTTTGATATGATCATAGATCTGACTTATGATAGGCAGGAGTATAGTAGTAGGGCTTCAGCAAAGATAAGCCTCGTTGGTGGATAGGTAAGGATAGTTTAGGGATAGGTAAATCATTGATGTGGATAAGTGCCTAGTCTATGACGTCACCTCGGAAAGAAGTGCCTTCCTCAATATATAATGAAGTGGATAGGTTTACTAATGAGCGTCACTATGCTACAATAGGAACAATAGGCTTGCCTAGACTTGCCCGTTAAGTAACTTGAGCCCGGTTTTCGGACCGTCTATTAAAAGAAAAATAGGAATAAGAGAAGCGATCACCTAGCAACGCGAGAAACGGCTTCCTATATCTTATTTAGCACTAAAACTCAGATATACATAAACAAAACACATACAGAAAGTGGAGTTGAAAAGTCTTTATTTCAATTTAGTATATGTCTTCTTATTTAGCGCTAAAACTCGGATATATATAAACAAAACATACACAAATTGGAGCTGAAAACTCTTTATTTCAAGTTTGTCTGACATTTTCTCCTTTCTATCTCGAGGAAATGAAAGTCTTGTCATTTTCACGCACGGTTAATCAGTTAATTATGCGAGTTCGCAAGCCTTAAGTTGAATACAAATTAGCTCTACAGGGAAGACCCAAGGGAGAGAATCTTGACGTATTATTATAAAACAAATAACTTAACAAAGATCAATTAAAACACGCGACTCGTAATTGCTAGCAATAAAAAGACAAGAGAGATACCGTTTTAAACAACTTTATTAAGAAACAATGACAAAAAGAGTCAAATACACAGGAATGGAAATTAATGAATCTTCATCTTCGTTCTCCTCTGTAGAAGGGGAATAGAAATTGGTTTCCAACGTCTTCGCGTTTTTGTGTGTAACTGCTCCGCAATCGTGACACCGAAGAAAGCCCTCTTTCATGTAATGTCTCCCCTCGGGAATCTGGTGATCGCATATAGGACAAATCTTGTAGTAATCGTGCCAAAGGCATTTAGGACATTTCATGATCAATGTCCCGTACACATTAGAGTTTTCACAGTGTTCACAGGGACTTTTGGAGTGAAAGGTGGTGGACGTTTCAGGGTTACTACTTTCTATCTCCTGACTGTCGTTTTCAGTGTCGTTGTCGCTCTCTTGGGTGTCTTCCTCTTCAACGCCATTCTCAGAAGCCACTTTCTCCTCCTCCTCCTGATTTTCAATATCCGATGAACTCTCCTCATTATTACTCTCGTTATCGGAAGTATTTTCTACATTTTGGTAGCCTTTTTCCTTTTCTATTAAATCACTTAACAACTTTTTGTTCTTGATTAAATTTTTATCGATTCCTAACTCTGCAAGTCCATCTAGAAACGTATTCAGAGCACGAGGCTTGGTAACCTCATTGTTTTGAGGGAGTAACACATACTCAACTAGCTCAGCGATGTTTGTGACGGGAATAGTGCGTTTATTTCGTAGTAATTGTCCGCTGGGGGTCCAGAAAAGAATATCTTTGGACGCAGCCATACTATGCAGCAAATCAGAAGCACGCTTTTCCGACACTGCTCGGGAAAGATGACTCAAAACATCTTTTATTCTCGGTTCTTCTTTTATTCTTGGTTCTTCATCCTCGCTTTCATCACCAGAACTTTCGCTTTCTTCATGTTCACTCTCGTGCTCTTTTTCTTCAACCAAATCTATCTTCCTCTTCATTTTGATGAGCACCCGTGACAGACTTAGCTTCGAATGATCAACCTAGCGATGTGTCACCTCTTTTATAGCATTAGAAATCCTAAGCTTGAAACGACAGGGGCAAATACATCTTCAATAAAACCACTACCCTCTTGAACAAGGACTCGCTTCTTTGTTTTGAAAGGGACATTTGGACTGGCCAGGTTAAGTAAAGCATCCTTATATGGCAGCAATACCCGCTTATTTTCTTCGGAGACAGGAATGTGTCCCATGAGTAAATTGTATAAGACTTGGACTAGTGCATGAAGTTGCTGTGGTGTAGCTGTCTTTAAAAGAAACTGGCGCTGATAAGCGGGGCAAGCAGCTAACAGCTGAAGAAAACCACGATTGTTGTTCACTACACGAGACATTGCTACAAAATGAACTAAGAATGGCAGTTGGTAGTCTTTTATAGAATCTGGTGGAGGGAAAACAATAGAAATGTGGTGGCGGCGGTGGTGGTGGTGGAGGGAAAACAATAGAAATGTGGTAGTGGTGGAGGGAAAACAATAGAAATGTGGTGGCGGTGGTGGCGGTGGTGCTGGTGGTGCTGGTGGACGGAAAACAATAGAAATGTGGTGGTGGTGGTGGAGGAAAGATAACAATAGAAATGGAGGTGAAAATGGAGGTGAAAATGGAGGTGAAATGGTGGTGGTGGAGGAAAGAAAACAATAAAAATGTGGTGGTGCTGGTGGTGGAGGAAAAACAATAGAAATGTGGTGGCGGTGGTGGTGGCGGTGGTGCTGGTGGACGGAAAACAATAGAAATGTGGTGGCGGTGGTGGTGGAGGAAAGAAAACAATAGAAATGTGGTGGTGGTGGTAGTGGTGGTCTTGGGGGAGGAAAACAGTAGAATCTTGTGGCCTGAAAACCTATATAAATGCGCAACATTCTACCTCTTTCTCAGTCTACATTTTGGTCCTGAGGAGTTGACATGAGTTAGTTCTGTTCTGTCTGCGAAAAATCCTTTAGTAGAAAAGATAGTATGCAAAGGCACGTGATGTCTAAACACCGCAATGCTAGTCTCACCCCATTTCAAACAATTCCAATATTTTCACAGAAATGTCAGCGGTTTCGCTTCGAGCATCCTTTCACCTCCATGATTGCCGGAATGACCGGGTCCGGAAAAACGGCCTGGGTTCGATCGCTATTGCAACAAGCTTCAGAGACCATTTACTCACCCTGGAGAGGATCGTTTGGTGTTATTCACAATGGCAGCCTGCGTATACACAAATGTTAGTTGCCATGCCAAACATTGAATTCGTCAAGGGAATTCCTACGGCTTTGGAGCAGGATTCCTATTTTGATGTGAACAAACGGAA